CAGGCAGCTCTCCAGGGCTGGACACCTCAGCACAGGCCTGCTGCCCTTTGCCAGCAGCACCCTCAGCTGCTGTCACGCCTCCCTCCGCGCGCAGAGCCAGCCGCCGAGCTGCTCGTCTTGCTCCACACCACACAGAAGAATTCCACACTTCTGGCATGCTTGAAGTGGAAGCAACAAAAACAGGAGCTGGGGTTTTTTGCTCCAAGCTTTCCCCGCCAGCTGACGCCGGGCCGTAGATTAACTCGCTGGGAAAACCACAGCGTGCACGTACGTGAACGCGCGCGTTCAGCGACGTAACCGAGCGCTCCCCACCTGGTACCAGGCATTGTAGTTATAGGCCGCCTGATTGACTTGCATGTCTCCATCCATCATCTGCGCGGAGGCCAGAGTCGGGTCATCTGTCAGCATCTTCTTTTCATCTGGCTCCTCCAATCTGTGAAGGCAACACATGCTGGTAAACGGTGTCTCAGAGTAACTCCCGAGCACGTCTTCGGGTGAGAAGCGTTCTAACGGGTAAGTGAGATTTTCAGACCTGGTGCCCTGTCCAAACAGGGTAACAGAATTTGCTTTAGAGCAAGACAGTACCATACTGTGCTTCACAGAATCACAGAATCACAGAATAGTAGGGGTTGGAAGGGACCTCTGTGGGTCACCTAGTCCAAATCCCCTGCCGAAGCAGGGTCACCTACAGCAGGCTGCACAGGACCTTGTCCAGGCGGGTCTTGAATATCTCCAGAGAAGGAGACTCCACAACCTCCCTGGGCAGCCTGTTCCAGTGCTCCGTCACCCTCAGAGGGAAGAAGTTCTTCCTCATGTTCAGACGGAACTTCCTGTGCCTCAGTTTGTGCCCATTGCCCCTTGTCCTGTCGCTGGGCACCACTGAAAAGAGCTTGGCCCCATCCTCCTGACACCCACCCTGCAGATATTTGTAGGCATTTATAAGGTCCCCTCGCAGCCTTCTCTTCTTCAGGCTGAACAAGCCCAGCACAACAGTCTGGTTTTTAAATTATTCTGGTGCTCAATCCGAGAGAGCAAAAGCATCTTTCTGCCTAGAGACCAAGTTATTTTTACCAGTACTCTTATTTTTTGTTACACATAATTCAAAAAGTTATTTCCCAATAAATAGTTCCCAAATACTCAAGCCAACAGTACAGCCCTGTTTAGTTTAAGTGGTTAAAACCCAGTGATTTTGTTCTGGCAAGCAGCAGCTTTAAAGCTGAAAAATACACATATATATACTCATAGACTAAAGAAAAAAAATGCAGCCTCTGAGATTTTTCTGAGCTATTTTTAAAGCATTTCCAAAGTGTGTTGTATCAGCTAGGGCTCAGTATAGTACATGTTCTGGCTACCCCACACTGCATCACCCCTCGAGTTTGTTTGCCCCCTCAGGTGGACAGCGCTCCTACCCGTTCTCTGCTCTCCGTTTCAAAGACTCCTGCTCCTTCAGAAGTGCTTGGTGTTCATCATAGGCATCCAGAAGCCTGCAGAGACAGAGAGAAATAAAGGTGTGCTCCCCAATTTCACGTAAATATTTTGAACACATGAGCAACCATTTAAGAATGTCTACTTTGAACTGCAAAAATACAAAAACATTCCAAACCAAACCCAATCACGATCAAATTTTAATCAGTGATCCACCATGCAGATGGGCGAGCCAAACACTTCATTTGAAGGGGGATTCCACAATGCATGGTGAAAAACTGTTAGCTCAGAAATTCTAAACTTGCTCAACTTCATTAAAGAACTGCATGAAGTATGGGAAAAGTTCCTTCATCAAGAAGTTTTCTTAAAAAAACTCGTGAGACGGCTGCTCCCTCCTGCATTCCCTCAGCTGCGCCCCGATGCCACCCACAGCCGCACGGATACTTAGGAACCAACATTTCTTCAAACACTGGAAATGAGTATGACACAAAATCATTGGAATTCCCCAGTAGCACCTACAGCCTTTTCCCAAACAACCTGGGAAGAACAAGTCTGCCTAATGCAGCACAACAGAGCCGTATTAGCCATCTATCAGTATAATCACGTTGCCGAATAAAGAGTAATACTTTTATTTCCTAGCTAAGATTCCCACAAGTAGCTACGTCTCCTTTCATCTGCTGCACACCACAGGTCACGAAGTGTCACACAGAAACGGCCGCTTCTGTCAGTATCACTCCTGGTGAACACCGCTTCTCACGCTTATTCTGTGCTCTACAGCAGTGAAGTTACGGGCAGCGTAATTTTCCTCTGTGAGGCGTTAGGTATCTCAGAAAAAAAAAGACGATTTTTTTGAAAAGAGAATCCTATTTATGCTTACAAATATCTGCAGGGTGGGTGTCAGGAGGATGGGGCCAAGCTCTTTTCAGTGGTGCCCAGTGACAGGACAAGGGGCAACGGGCACAAACTGAGGCACAGGAAGTTCCGTCTGAACATGAGGAAGAACTTCTTCCCTCTGAGGGTGACGGAGCACTGGAACAGGCTGCCCAGGGAGGTTGTGGAGTCTCCTTCTCTGGAGATATTCAAGACCCGACTGGACAAGGTCCTGTGCAGCCTGCTCTGGGTGACCCTGCTTGGGCAGGGGGTTGGGCTGGGTGACCCACAGCGGTCCCTGCCAACCCCTACCATTCTGTGATTCTATTTAAAATAGGAATTTGGTTTAGAAAAGCAGTTATCCCTCAAAACACAACTGACGGCATGAAAGAAACAATTTTGTAGATGCCCCTAGCCCTACCCTCTCCCTACTACCGCTGCAAGCACGCTTTTGGTGACCCTAATTTGGCCATTGCACAGACTACATCTTACTTGTTTACATCAGAACCAAAATCTTCAAGAAATTCCACTTTCCGCTGAGAAAACGTAATCCTCATTTTAATGGACAACGCGCCATGGACGGCTTTATCAAAACAGCTCAGGATGTTTTCTTCGTTTAGCTTGAGCTCGCCACTGTACTCCATTTCCAGCAGGTTGAGATAGAGCTTCGTGTTTTCCTGCGCAAAAGATGTATCAGAAGTCGCGCATCTGTCACGTGAGGTATTTAAGGCTGAGCGCACGTCAGCCAGAACGTTTACACCACAAATACACGCCAGAACAGTCAATAAGAAGGCTGTCTTTTTGTACGGGTCACATCTGACCTGGTTTGTGTCACAGATAGGTCAGAAGCGCCCTAGCACTACACAGGCAGGCATCACGCTTTGCTAGCAGTAAGCCAATAGGATGTGGGGTGCCAGATACTTCTGTGGTTACACAAAACGATCTGCGAGCACTTCCCACACCATCAGTTTTGTTCACCTTGAGACGTGAACACACCTACAGTATTTAAGAAAGGAAAAACCAAGGTAGGAAACACATGGTGCTTCTGACCAAAAAACCCTGCCAACCCGCAGATTTGCAAGCTACAAATATGGCAACATCAGTTTAGAGGGACTGGTGTCTCCACGCAGTAACGAAGCATCACATACAGTTACAACTCCTGTCATCATTGTTGCCATCTTGAAAAAAATAAGTTCAGAAAAATACTAGGTTTTTTGTTTTGGTTTTTTTTTTAAACACAGCAAAGAGGGAACACATACTTTGTCAATTTCTATGGCATCTGACAGCACTTTTCTTGCCTTTGGAAGATTTTTCTGCACTTTGAAGAGGTGTCGAGCTAATTTGATGGCATAAAACGACGATTCGCTAATGGATTTGGCATTCCTAACAGCATCTTCAAGCAGGTGTTCGGCTTCTTCCATGTTCCCGTGTCTGCGTTCTAAGCTTACTCTTCGCAAGCGAATCATCGCTAGCCCTAGAATACACTCTTCAAACGTTTTCAAGATTCTTCTTGCCTCGTCGATGTTGCCTAGAACACCGGTGAAGACGCTTTCAGATATGAGACACCCAACAGCCTCTTAAACCAACACAGAATCCCCTCCCAGCAGAACCCAGCGCTGCTCTTACCCTGCTGCTCCTCAAAGGCAGCCCACAGCATGTGCACCATCGGCTTCTTAGGAAGGTGTATTGTGCAAGCCCTGCTGTAGACATGCCTCACTCCTTCAATACTATGATTCTCCATGTATTTGGCATACTATAGTCGAAAACAGAGCAGAGTTGAAAAATTTAAAGCTTGTATTTGTCTGTAAAACCAGGACAGAACGATAAAATTCTTTTGTTTAAACCCATTCAGCACCTTTATTGAACCACTAGACTAGTTTCTGTAAGGAAGGACGTAGAGAGGCAACGAGGTTGGCATATGCAGCAGTCAAATCTGGTTGCAAGCAGACCATCTCCTAATGCAACAGATATAGTTATATATGAACAACGTTCCACAAGAGTACAAAAGGTTAGTCACTAGATCAATGTATGCAATCGGTAGGAGACGGGTGGTGAACCACTTCCCTTACCTTGATCCAGAAGTCCTCATAGAGGGCACATGAAATAACACATCTTTCAAAGAGGACCACAACTCGTTCATGAGTGCCATTTTCTATCTCAAACTCTAAGTACTCTTTCCAGTTTTTCAGCTGAATTTTCTCCAGAGGTTTGACGTGGAAGTAAGGCCTCTTTATCTGCAAGAGTCACAGGGACTTATGACTAGTAAGCATACCACCACGTTGCTTCAGAAACCCGCGCAGCCACACACCATTCAAACAGGACTTCAGAAGGATTCATCCTTTACTCAAACCCGTCTGCTGGGGTACCCACATATTGACCAAGAGGGGCTGCTGCCAGTTACACTCTAGGCTAGTCACTTGTTTTTCTAGAAAGCTCCTTCAGCGCAAGCGTTTACAGCAGCTGAGAAAGAACTCCCTGCAGTCACTCCCTTGCAAACCTGCGGTCACGTTACAATGACATTATTAACACAATTAGTATTGTCCACATGCATACATACAACCAAAGTACTCACTGTTGTACCAGTGCACATCCTACAAATTAAGTTCAAAGTTTGCTTGAGAACCACAACAAGGCGAGACAAAGCATCGAACTGAACCTCCTATTAAATATTTACATCAAGCTGATCATTCCAAGAGCTAGCAAGACTGCGTTTTTATTGGCGACCACCAGAGCAGCTGGGTGGGACAGAGCTCAGCGCAGAAAATTTACACATTGCTTTGAACTAAACGTAGCAAAGCATCCTTCCAGAGATCTTTTGCTTTTTCTCTCCTTCATCTTCAATTTTACCTGACTATTTTTCTGCTGCACTGCAATTCCATCTCAGACACAAGTACATACAAATGGATAACGAACTTACAATAATTAGGGAGTAAGATTCAATTCTCCAAGGCCACCTGACATTTTAAAGCCCATCACCCCCTTGGTGCTCCTCGCTGAACTCTACTACGGAACCCACTGCTCTCTTTCCATTTTGACAAGTCCACAGCTACACTGTTCCTGCTAAAGGAACAGCGAAACAGGTCTCAGCGGTCTCCTTCACTCGGGTGACATCGGCTGCCCATCTACCTCATCTCTGTCCGCTACAAAGACACGCTGAACTCTGCCTTTCAAACTCCTCCTAGACCCAACACGTTGGTATCTACACAGCAGATGCACTCTCTGGGCAGAAAAAGTATTGATTCTGGCCAGGAGCAAGAGAGGACGCCCTGGTGCTTACACATCTCCTGCAGCACGTCCCCAGTTTCAGCATTCTCCCAAGTTTCAGTAACTTGTAGCTGAAGGCTTCCCGAGCCAGGAATACCTGTACTCACACACTGCATCAGCATGTTGGAGCCTCACTTACTCGAGGGACACACTTTGTAAGCTCTGCTTCCTTCTACGACAGGCCCCTGGTACAGAGGTGACCCTGTGACACGTCGGGCTGGCAACGGCCCGCCGGGCTGCTGTACCACAGCCAGGGTGACCCCCGGCGCCAGGCCGTGCTCTAGCCTGCGGCACCAGGACACCGGCTGCGTGCTGCGGCTTGCGGTGCCTCTGGCCTAGCCCAACAGCGTGCAACAAGCAACCCAGCAGCTCCGCCACCACGTAACCCCTTAAGGAGTCTCTCTGCTAACAGCTGGGGCAGACGTTTTAAAGAGAAAGTAAATGTAAAACAAGAACCATGTCACGCAGTATGGTATTTGCCAGGAATAAAAACAAAAACAAACTGAGAATTAAAAAATCAGGTTGTTTTTTCAAAAAACTTCATTCCACACAGAAAAAAATCTGTATTTGCAGTGATCAAATGATTAGTTTGATTAATTACTTTTAACACCTTATCCCTAGGAGCTGCATGTGCTGATGGCTACTTCTGGTAAACAAAAGTTAACTGATTTCAGGTTTAAGTGTAATGTGAAACACAAAAAATACACAAACTTCATTCTCCTTTTAGGATCGGCTTACCTTTTCAATCAGAATTACCTTCATCTCCTTGTCACTTTGCAACACCCCAGATGCACAAGGCAGTACTAACTTACGCAGCGTTTCATGCCTGGGTATCTAAAGACTGCTTAGTAAACTACATCTTGCCTCTTCTCCCCCAATACTGCTTCAAGATTTTTAAACCGTCAGGTGACAGAGCTGACCTCACAAGTTGCCTTTTCACAAGAAAAATGGCAGAGAAGTGAAACCTGATCTTTGTTCAAAGCCCCACAACCGTTTAAAGCGTCAGGCCCAACTGCTACCCAGAACTCCCAGCTCCCCGTCTCACGTCCGAAACTCTTGCACATGCTGCCTTACGTAGAAAAACCAAACTCACCGCTTCTTCAAACGTCCACCTCTTACTGACTTCGTGTTCATTGTGGTTAAACATCTCTTGATGAGTCTCAATGATTCTGTGCCTCATGTTTTCTATCTCGGTGATGAGCTAAAACATAATTTTAAAAAGGTTAACACAGGTGGACACCGCATCACCTTTGTAAATGCGTTCTATGGCGACAGCAACAGGCACAAATCAGATGTATCACGGCTGCAGTGCTCGTCACCCTGAGCAGCCAGGGGAAGGGACGGGATGCTGCCCTGATGGTGCCCTGGCCCTCAGTCCAACCCAACTGAACTGGTTTTCTGTCTGATGTTTTGCTCTTATGTTAAAGCTGATTAACGACTAATTTGGATCTAAGTCAAGCTTGGTTTCAGTACGTGTACATTTTCACCACGAGCAATTCCTTTGGAGGGCTCCAAGTTTTCACACGCCTTTGAAGGCTACGAACCTGCAGAGACCGCTGCTGATGCAGAGCTTTCTTAGAGGCGGTAAACCACTTCCCTGTTAGCCACAGGCTAATCTGTTACCTGGAATAATTAATATTAATTTCTAAAGTTCTGTACATCACTTATTTAAATTTTAACTCTATTTCTTTATACCCACAAAACCACTGGAAAGGTACGTCCTGGAGACAAAAGCAGTTCCAACCTGAGCCAAAGAGCAGTGATATGCAAGAGAATTACGGCAACACCTCAGCTACAGATACACTGAACTGTCTGTGTGTAAACTCGACTGTCAGCCACAGAGTAAGGCAAGAAACGCCAACAAACACCCTCGGTGCCCGTACCTTGGCAGGGTCGGTTATGTCTTCAGTGCCAGAGGGCATGTCGTCGCTAGGCTGCGCGTCCTCCCCGCTATGGCCGTTGACAGACGCCAGCTCTCTGCGCAGCTGAACAAACTGCTCAGTAGTCAGCAGGTCTCGAGGCACGTTGTTCTGTATGTGTTCTTTAAACCTGAGAACCGTTAGAAACAAATCAACACAAATCTGATGTTTTCTGTTGCAATATTCTGCATAACCAGAGCACAACAATACATCCTAGCGGGGTTCTGCGTTACTTCATTCATCTAGAGCAACACTGAGAACGCCACTTCTGACAACACACAGACAAAACGCCACTTCTGCTACCCATCAGACTTCAAAAGATTTGCATTTCAAAGAGAAATGAAAGGATGGTGAACTTCAACGGCACAGACAGGCCACTTGCCATGTGAAATTGATGGCAAAGACATGATTAGCCTTAGAGGCAGACATTTTATTTCCAAGAACAAAAGATCTGTAGAGATTATGAGGAACACTGGTGCATAACTTAACCAGGCTTTCTAGTTCCCTCTTAACCTCTCCATATCAATGCAGAATTCTACTATCTAAAACTCCACCAAGTGCATGAGGAATTATAGTTCAAAACCTCTCATTCTGATTTTTCAAAGACATCCTCTCTTCTTCCTCACAATTCCAAGGCCTTCCTTCATTCCACAGCAGAATTTGCGAATTTATCTAAAACCAAATTCCTAAAATGTGTAAATGTCTACTAGTACTTTAAAACAATCAGTCAGACTGTATGAGTATGTAAATAATAAGTATACAAAACCCCGTAGCTATTCCAAGCCCTTGTTCCGAGCGAACACTTTCACACTCACAGAAGTCGGTCAGCGTGTGCTTACAAAACTCACCGCACCAGCTAAACCTTTGTTTTCTCGTTACCTCTGGAAATGATGGCTGTAGAGCTGTGTCGGAATTCCAAGGATGCGGTCATATATGGACGTAACTTCCCTTAGGTTTCCCTGGTCATTTTCCCAGTTAATGTACATCTCCCACAGCCTGTCCGAACGGAAGTCTGTCCCAGCAGCTAAGACTGCGTGTTCGTAGGCTCTGAAAAATTAAATTATTTTACAGTTGTTTCTGGGTGTGGTGACAGAACAAGGAAGACAAGTTCTGGCACTTAATTACTTAAAGATTATGAGCATCCTCATTTACTCACAACCACACTTATACTTACTATTTAAATTCTTCTAAGTATCTTCTCGGTATCTGTAGCAAGATCTCTAGAATTTCAGAAAGTTTGCACTCACTTTTTTTTCCTCCAGCACTACCACAGCAGAACAGACAAAGGCAACAGAAAAAGCCACTTGCAGGAACGCAAGATACGAAGAAAATACAAACTCTTTGCCACTTACGTCTTGTAAAGATTCTAAAACCGTTACTTTAGCAGTTTAACACACAAAAGCTATACATCGGTCATGAGCTAGAAGCTGCTTCAGTTTAAGTTCAGTTAAGGGTTTGGGTCAAACTTGAGTCCAACCTAACCAGGACCTAACTCTAACCAGGACCACTGCCAGCCACAGATGAGGTCAAGCACATTGTAGCCATGCCCTGAAAACCTCCAATGAATTAAATTCCCAAAATTCTACGGGGAACCTGTCCCAGTGCTGCAGTAAGTACTTCCTAATGTCTAATATGAAGCTCTCAAGCCACAACTTCTGACTCTTGCAGCACACTGTACTATCTAGGCCTTCTTATGGAATTTGGCTCCAGCTGTTAAGAATCCCTAAAGTAACCACATGCTGTCACTAGCTTGCCCCTTAGCTTCAACATATTCAGCGGACCACACTGCCATGCAACTGTACGTCTGGGCTTCTCGCATCATTTGGTCGGCTTTCAACTTACCCTCGAATAGTACTGTTCGTTTCGGGATCGGTAGGGTCCAGGGTGTCCTTTAAGAAGTTTATATAATGTATCCAAAGATCAACACTAAGAGGAATCGCCTGGAGCCCTCTGCGATAGACCTATGAAGAGAACATCAACTGTACTTCAAATACTTAATGGCGTCCTAATAGAGAGGCAACACTGTGTTATCCGGTGAACCTTAGAAATACTAATTACTGGAATTTTGTTTAAATAATCTACCATTACCATTTGGGTGGAGGTTGGATAGAACATGGCAATGTTCTGATCTCCACGTGCAGAGTCTTGATCTTCAAAGCGCAGCGGTCCCTGCATTCTGACCAGGTTGTGTGGGCAGGCTTTGGGGTACAGACCATAGGGCACAGACCCATTAGAGCATCATTGACAGCGTCTGACCAAAAATGCAATAAGATGTAGCAATTGTGACCAGCAAACCAACTATATTGTTTTGAAAATGAGCAATAAATGTAAGTGACAGAAAAGCCCTGCCCTACTTGTTAAGCTGCAGTGTAATACAGAGGCTTGCACTGCAAAGCTTGACAAACTGTAGAGGTTTAACGCACCTGCCAACAAAGAGAGAAAACATTAGCTACAAATGCCACAGACGTGACAAGTGCAAACAAAATCCCTACCAACCTGGCCATACATGGCAGGTACTGGCAGCCAAATGACTCGCAGCCCGTTAGTCATTATTTGGCCAGCAGGACCGGTGGCAACAGCTGTGCCCAGCTACCTACATACCTCATCAGACTGCTTAACGTTGTCGTGCCGCTTTTCGAGGTCCGCGTACTTTTTCCAATACCCATAGCAATATGGATAATGCGTGAAAAACCTGTCAAAAGCTTTCCTGGCCGCTGGTATGTGGTTCTGCGAGAAATACACAATGAAAGCAATTAAACCTTTCCTGAAAAAAAAAAAAACCCTTCACATTATTTTAAAAACAACTGTTGTTTTAACACTGTCTTAAAACCCATTCTTTTTCTCTTGTGATCTCTGCTGACAATACTGGCAAGGGCAACTGTCTGAAAACAGTAGGTATGAAAGCCTGATTTGTCACTGGAATATCCACTGTTCTAGATTTGTCACTGGAATCTCCATGACTGGTTTTGGTTTTTTGTGTTCATTTCTAGAAAGCTAAGGAATAAGGGGGCATGTACTAACCTCCTGCTCTACGTACTGTAGGAGATATACCCATCCTGTGAAATCCTGGGGATTGTCCTCTACTACTTTCCAGAACTTGTCAAAATCTGGAGGGAAGGAAGCATCAATATCTGTTGTCTGTAAACTTTCAATATTTGGAATTTCACTCTCCTCCGTGTTCTCTTCATTCAAGTCAGGGGAACTGTCAGGTGACTGCTCCATCTCAGTTACACTCATAATTTCTGTACTGAAGTCCATTTGCTGTTCTTCCGTTGCCATCTCTGTGCCATTGTCTGTGCTCTCGTTGCTCACAGTCGGCTTCTCCTCCTCCGTATTGTCTGCGTTCTCCATTGCTGGGGTGACCGCTGCTCCGCAGTACCAGATCCTGGGGAAACGAAAAGATTCAGTATTCATGTAGGGGAGATTCAAGCAGAACTTGGGTGGGAATTATCAGCTAAGAGTCTCCGCAGTGCTTCAGGCATCCGTGTATTTCACCACAGACTTCCATCAATGGGATCTGCTTCACTCTAGACCCTAACCCACAATTTAAAAAAATGTTCACAGCAGTCACATGTTTTAACATCTGCACATACAAATCATTGTGGTTTTTTTCTAAAAAGCTAGCACAAATAGCCATCGAGGTACAAAAGCGAACCAATACAGTTTTCCTGTATGAGTCCAGCAGAATTTAATTCCCCAATACAGAATTACGTTCAAATTTATTCAATTCTCCTGCTCAGTACTGATCAGTAACTCCTTTGAAAAATAAATACATGTCAAAATGTACTGCCTTAAGCGATAACTTTGCAAAGAACAGAATGACTGTCAGCACTAGGCTTGGTCCACATGAGCTAACCAGCGGCAGAGGGCCACAAGACGCGTGTAGGCTGGCCCCTCACACGCGGCCACTCTGCTCTCACGCAGAACTGGCAGGCCGGGCGCTGCCTCCTGCCCCTCGG